TTCACTTAGCATAATGTTCTCCAGGTCCATACATGCTGTGGCAAAGGGTAAAAATTTTCTTCTTTTTTATGGCCAAGTAGTGTTCCATTGTGTAAATGTCCCACATTCATTTTTTTGCCCTGCCTGGTGTGGCTCAGTGGCTTGAGTGCCAGCCTGCAAACTGAAAGAATTCTTGTATTCCTGGCTGGTCCTTTCTGGGAGATGGTGTTCGCAAGAGAAGTTTGTGGAAGGTAATACTGTGGGAGTTCTCCGCCTTGACACTTCACCAGAATTCAAAGTACAGAGTAAACAATGCCTGTGATTTCTCATATTCTTAATATATAAAATGACCTGATCGGTACTCTCCAACCTCATCTCCTACCATGTCTCCAGATACCTTTAATTCTGACTGCACCAGACAACTAAGTGCCCTTGGAACATGTCTGCTGTTTTATAGTACTATAATCTTTCATACCCTATTCCCTTGATCTGGGACCCCATCCTCCACCTCATCCATTTGAAGACCTATTTTCTTCAAAACCCAGATGAAGTGTTTTTCCTTCCATGAAGCTTTCCCTGATCACTTTAAGTAGATTTAATGTTTCAAATGTTCTGAACGATTAATATAAAATACCCACAGATAATATGTACAAATTAGACCATTAGGCACTAAACATGGTACGTAGATGTACAAGGTATTTATATATTTCTAGTTTGATAAAAATGTTTTCCTTTTAGTTTGGAGAAAAATGGCGGACCATCCATAATTCCTGTCTTTAAAAAAGGTAATTGAGTTTTCTTTTATCTCTGAGATACCTTCTAGCCCTGACACTTACTCTGTTTTCTGTTTATAAAAATTCAAAATGTAGAGGCTACCAGAAGTTTACCCATAAACTTTTGCTTTTGTAATTCTGTATAACTAAAGTGTCTTTCCACTTACAAACTAATGTTAAACATTTCTTTTAAGGCCTTTCCTACTAACATCACTTGACAGAAATTTATCTCTTACTTTGCTTTTTCTCACAAGCCATGCACAGTAATAAGTCATTACTGAAAAACATGTATGACTTAAATTATGACCTTGCTGCTGTTCTGTTCGTGTACAACTTGTCTAATGAATTCTTAGAAAAGAGACATTTTTTTCCATTCATACTCTGTATGGTTTTCTACATAGTTGGCAGATGATGGCTGAGCAGTCCAGGCCTGCGAGGTCAAAGTCCAGATCTTATACTGTTACCCATAATGCCTATCAGACATATGACAGGAAAAACAAATTACTCACTGATTTCACATACATCTTAGTGCCTGTTCACGTGTTCAATGTAGGACCAAATTCAGTCTTACTTGGTATATTGTCCTAAAGTCAGAAGCAAGCATAGAATCATTCAAAAGTCAGTTTGCTTTAGTTACAACTGGTAAGAGAGAACTTAGGGAGAGAGAACAAAAGGGGAAAAAAATTTCAGTTTTCAGGGAGTACTGGAGAGAAGCTACATATGTATATATGGGGGTCTCTATTTCTGAATGTCATGGGCAGACAAATGTCTGTTTTTGTATACAGTTTCTTTAGTTAGTCTTGTTCTTTCTTCACTTTAATACTGATTTCTAAATAATAATCTGTACCAGTAATGGTCTGAAGAAGTGTTTAGAGGTTTCTGGAAATAAGACAAAATAAAGACAAGGTAGCAAGTTTCTGATAAAGTCTGTCACTTTGAAATAATGCCTTTTACACTTTTTTGGTGTTAACATCTTCTTTTACAAAATAATATTTAAAATAATAAGCATTTGTTCTTTTATTAAGTGCCAAATTGGCACAATAAAAAGTTGCCAACCATATATTTGGTCCCCAAAGATTTCTGCACACATCCAAAAATCTGGAAGCTACTGATCTATTCTCTTAGTATGTTTTACTGATGTAAAGAAAATAGAACTATATAGAACTAAAGGCAGTAAGACCATACCTAGGGTTCTTTGGCTTAAGAAAGAGACATTTAATTGTTGCTCTCTATTTTCTAGGGAAACAGCACAGAAGAAAATTAACACCTAAAATTCAACCAAGAGATTCTTTGACTTTATTGCCTCCTGTAACTAACTTCATGGGACTCTTCAAAGCAACAAAAAAGACCACTGTTTCTCACAATATTTTTTCCTTTTCATCTGCAATGTCATCAGATATCATAAAAGTATCAAGACCAAGAATAGTGTTTTTGAACAAACTTGGAAAACATGTACAGAAGGCTGATTTGGAACCCGCAGAAGGCTAATAAAAGCATTTTAGCATGAAAGGATTCCTAAGAAATCTTTTTAATTTTTAAGTGTGGTAAAATACACATGACATAAGTAATCTTTTTTAATGGAAGTTCTTGATATTGATAGTTAACAGATTTCCCTTAGCATGTCTACTGGAATTAAACTCAGGCAGAGTTATAGTTTCAAAAAATAGGTACAACTTTCTGAAATAGAATGCCTGAAGTTAAAACTATTAAAATATAGGAACTGACACGAGGGGCATACTTAGTATTTGTATAAAGTGTTATAAATGTTTTTTAATTGGTATGCTGTGCTAAAGAGGCCTGATTCAAAGTAGCTCACATGTTAACACACACTGTAATACCTTAAGATATTTAATGATAAATTCCACAAATGCATGAGGCTTCTAAATGTATACCTTTAAAAAATCTTATTTAAAAGAAAATCTGAACTCACTGACCATCATGTACAAAAGTATGGCTAAAAATGTGGCAAACAGCATTGACCACTCTCCATACTTGTTGAGAACCTCTGGTTTACAGCTAGAAAGGGTGATATTCTCTGTGCGTAGAATCACGTGGTGTCTCGACCCAGAGTACTGTTTGCAGCAGGTAGTGGTTTCATCGTATGTCTGCTTCTCCTATTTTACAGCAGCTCATAGATGTGACATGAAAGCAAGTTGGGCTCCACTGTATCCTTTAGAAGCCCCCTTTTTCTCTATCCACTTTGCTCAGTGTCTTCATATGTTTTCTTGGGCTGCACTGAACATATCTATTAATGAGCGGTTATTTTCCCCAACATGCCTTAACATAGCAGTAATGATAGTGACGACAGCAGCTATATGTACTTAGACTTTTCCATGTGCCAGAGTCCAAAGCCTGTGCTCTTAACCACTGCACAATACGAGACCTCCTTAATCCTCAAATACAATTCTATATTCTCTTAATTGCTGTGAGTCACAACTTTCTGGTGGATGGACTAAAATATAGGAATTGTGGTGGGGGGATAGCTTACTTTATATTAGAAAGGGATAAATAAGAAACAATGTCATTTATTCAGTACCATTAAAAATAAGAATATCAAAGAAAATATTAAGCCTATACGGACTTTTAAAAAAAGCCTTTAGATAGCAAACTTTAGCTTTGCAACTATCTTCAGGTGAGCTACTGTATTTTAAGAGTATTTTCAGGTATTAGGATCAGCATTTCTTTATTTTCAACAACATAGACATTACCTGAGTACCTTGGCCTAGCCAGACATTCTACTACTTCTAATACTTATTGTATTTCTCTTCAAATACAGCCCCCTCCTCCCTGTAAAGATTATTTTTGTTATGTTGCATTTCCTTTTGTTTTTTAAAATTATGTGTAAGATGAGAAAGGCCTCTCAATGTAAAGTTTTCAGCAAATTGCTTGCCTCATACCAGACTATAAGCTAAATTTGGTACATATCCTTGCCAATATAGAGCAGGATGTTTCTCTTTTTCCTTTTCACCTTTCCTTCTTCTCTTCTTCTTTCCTACGGCTAAGTACCAAAAGGGCTCAAGATATGAATGCTTCCAGAATTTGCTCATTTTCCTTATCTATAGTTTCTCTTACTTATATCATGAACCAAATTTTGACATGTATGCTTGTAAATTTAACAACTTATATTACAGACATCTCTATTTTATAATATCTGTGATAGTGGTGAGAACTTTCGATAGTGGTCAATTTTCTTCCATAGTTTTTATGTACCCTGATTCTAATAGCCACAGCAAAGGATTATACTTCTTCTCTTTGAATTAAGATCCACATTATACAGAACACAAATTCAAATGTAAAATGTGAATTTACAAACTAATTGTTTCTTTTAAATATCTGTGAACCAATTCCATCAAACCTATACCTCAACATCAAGAAACACAAAGCATTATAAATTGGCTGTTTCTGTAAGTTCCTTCATATAAATTATGTTTTCTACTTCTAGTATAAATTGGATGATCATAAAGCAATACTCTGCGATCACAATTCTAAAGAAAATAACCATTATATTAGCCAAGATTAAAATGAAGGAGAGAATCCTAGAAGCAGCAAGAGATAAAGGGACAGTCACCTACAAAGGAGTTCCCATCAGACTGTCAGCGGATTTCTCAAGAGACCTTACAGGCAAGAAGGGGCTGGGAAGAAGTATTCCAAGTCATGAAATCCAAAGACCTACATCCAAGATTGCTCTATTCAGTAAAGTTTTCATTTAGTATGGAAGGGCAGATAAAGTGCTTCTCAGATAAGATCAAATTCAAGGAGTTCATCATCACCAAGCCCTTATATGAAATGTTAAAGGGACTTATCTAAGAAAAAGAAGATAAAAAATATGAACAGTGAAAGGACAGCAAAATCACAGTTATTAACAACCACACCTAAAACAAAAGCAAACTAAGAGGACAGCTAGGTCAGGAGCAGAACCATAGAAATGGAGATCACATGGAGGGTTAGCAACAGGGGAGTGGGAGGAGGAAAAGGGGGGAGAAGGTACAGAGAATAAGTAGCTTAGATGGTAGGTAGAAAATAGACAGGGGGGGAGGGCAAGAATAGTATGGGAAATATAGAATCTAAAGAACTTGTGACACATGGACATAAACTAAAAGGGGGGGAATGGTGGGGAAGGGGGTGTGCAGGGTGGAGGGGAATGAAGGGGGTAAAAATGGGACATCTGCAATGGCATAATCAATAAAATATATTTAAAAGGAAATAACTTAAGGAATTTCCCAAAAAGGAAGTCACCTGAAGGCAGGATTAAAATAAATCTTTTTATTATAGATTTGTATCCTTATCTCCTAGTTTCTTAATAAAGCAAGTCACTAACTAGAAAGTTAACTTGTCTTGTGTGGATGACATTCTATAAATCTCTACTGGTAAATCCTTTCAAAGGACATTAAACAGTCTGTGGCATTGTCCTTAGAGTCAAACCTACTTTAGGCAGAAAAAAGCAATAAACTATTATGATATCTGCAGTATGAAGTTTCAGATTCTGGGAAATTACCTAGAAACAAAACCAAACCCTTTTCATCTCATCTATTTTCACCAATTAAATAACATTTCTGAAATAATGAATATAAATATATGTGGTCAACTAAAAAGTACAATACACAATGAGAAATTACTTGCATGTCACATTTCTTATTCTTAAAGTCCCAAATGGGTTTTAAGAAATGTACAGACATTCCATTTGCTCCAGAGAACATACATATATAACATATTTTTATTTTTTAACTCTCATAATTAATAACATACATTCCGTTAGATGTCACCTTTTGTCTTAATTTAGAATTCTACAACTTGACACAACTTTGACCTGGCTCCTGTTCTAAAACTGTTCTCTCATTGGAAAAGTCAGGCTAATTTTCAGCAGAAGCCAAAGAAATAGCTTCTGCTACTCTGATAGGAAAAAGGGGAAGACAGATCTCAGCCTGTATAACATGGGGCCAGAATTTAGCAGAATCACTGTATTTCTTCCTGTAGGTTTGTTTCTTCTATCTGCCAATATCAGTACATCCTTTCCCCCAAAAGACATTTTACTTTGGTTTTTGATTTCAAAATTTATATTCTCTTATAAGACAATAACATATTATTGCAGTCTCTCAGAAGAGCAAGTTAAAAATCAAATATAAGAGGAATAACAAAAGAAAGTATCTGTCAACATATTATATATCTCCTACAATCTGATATACAAAAAAATCACAACTGTTGAAATACTACCTTCAGGAATTTTCGAAAAGCAAAAATCAAATCTTCATTTTCAATCGTGGTACTTTTATGGCAGCTTCTCCAACTTCTTTCGATATATCTACTCCTAGAGGACATCTGCATGATATCAGACCAAACACATTATTTCAAATATTTGCTTCCTGATCTGTCACTAGTCTGCAGACTATTTGCTTAGAATTCTCAACAAACAATATGCGTATCTAATTTATAGTTAGTTGTATGGAGTGATAATTCTTGATACATATAAATACAACAGGACCTCAAACCAGAAGAATGAATGAAGAAAGGCGAGTTTCACTAATAAGAAATCTAAATTTGGAGAGTTTTTTAACCACTTTGAGGTATATTTAACATGTAAACAGCTATACATATTTAATATATAAAACTCAATGACTTTGAGATTGAGATGTTTCGAAAGAAATAATTCTATGGCTCTCAAATACTGTAGATAAATAAAAACAAAATGAAGTAGGAAGATTTTTTTAGTCTTATAATTCTCTATGATGCTAAAAAGGCAAAAACAATTTACCATATAGCTAAAGTCAAAACTACATCCACTCCTACTTTAGAAATTCCCTAGGTTTCCACTGATTCTTTTCTGAGGTTTCAAAATCTAGCTTCTTTTCTCCCTTCCTTTGTCAATACAAGCAGGAGAGGTCTTAGATCCCACCCTTTTTCTTTGTTCTTCCTTAGTAAGTAATTTTGGCTGCAGATTTCTGATTTTTCACTATATGCCCAACCTGGAAAAAGCCATTGTCTCCAGTTTCTATACCACCCAAAGAAGGCACCACTGGATCAGATATATTCCATAAAAGACCCAGCCACTAACATAGGGGTTTCTTCTGCCATTACTAACTAAACTCAGTTCATTTACAATCAGCCATAAGAGTCTGTGATTCATGTAGCTACAGTGATGGACTACAATGCTAAAAAGTTGTAAAACATCAGATGAACCAATGTTGAAAAGAGAATTATGTTAGATTATGAAACACAATCATCCTTCACTATTTTTGCTATTCTTGAATTCACTTAGACCAGAACTTGGTAACAAACTGAATAACTGTGTTCTTCGGAAATTTGATTAGGGAGATAAACTAAGGCTTGCAGAAAACTTGGGCCATTACTCAGCTGCACATAGAAGGACATAGCCCAGTCTCACATCCAAATGCCTTTTGCACATATTTCTTGTTTCCCAGCAAACTAGCTGGTTCTGAGATGGTCTTGACATTGCAAAAGTCAGGCCATAGACATGGTTTCCATTCTGGTTCCAAGTAAAAAAAAAATCATCATTTTATAATTCTCACCTTATGTTTCCAACTTAAGATTTGTCAAATTTTTTATAACTTGAAATTGAAACAAACATATTTCTCAAAAAGTATCTACCTCCTAGGTTCATGAAATAAATTAATGTAACCAGAATGTCCATGAAAACCTCATATATAAGAGCAAGATCCAGGCTTTGACTTTTTTATTCATTCATTCATTCATTCATTCATTGTTATTCAAGCACAGTTTTCTGCTTTTCCCCCTACCCCAACCCTTCCCACCTCTCTCCTGTTTCCACCCCCACCTTGTTGTTGTCCATGTGTCCATCATAATCGTTTATACAAACCCTTCACCCCAGGCTTTGACTTTTATAATGCAACCTGCATAAAGATATGAATGGTTCTACATACTTCGGTTCATAACGGATGCCTTCTGTGTTGTATAAAATGCCCAAGCCAGCACGCAATCTTTCAATACCATTCCTAAACAAGAATCATTGAAACAAAGTAAATAGCCCAAAATTTAAAAGATTTAGCAGGATGAAATAGCAATATTTACATAATTATGAGGGAAGCACATATATCTCGTGGCTTACCATGCGATCATAATGCCGTTGTCAGTGCACAGTCTGGGAGGAGGACACAATAAAGTGCATTGTGTTGCATTTGTCACAATTTCCAGAGCTTTTCGGATATATAAGTTACTTGCAACTCCTCCAGAAACAACCTGAATTGAGAAGATCAAAATTAACAAATATTACATATGGATATGAGCCAAGCTGTTAGCTATATTATACAATAAAAAGATCAAATTTTGCCCTGGCTGGTGTAGCTTAGTGGATTGAGCGCAGGCCTGTGAACCAGAGTATCGCAGTTCGATTCCCAGTCAGGGCACATGCCTGGGTTGAAGACCAGTTCCCGGTAGGGGACACACGAGAAGCAACCATACATTGATATTTCTCTCCCTCTCTCCTTTCCTTCCCCTCTGAAGATAAATAAATAAAATTTAAAAAAAAGATCACATTTTGATAGATGAATAATGAGCAATTGATATATCTCTACAATAAAAATTTAGAGTATAAAAAAAACCACCAAAAATTATCAGCCTATAATCACTATTACCACTTTTGTATATTTTCTTCTAACCTTTTTCTAATTATAATCATAGTACAATACTTTAGACCCTAAAGTTTTTACTTAGAAGCATTTTTCATTTTTGTTACATAATCCTTAAAAAACTGTCATCTTTGAAACTCAATTTTGTGAATATACCATCATTTAAATATTGTCTCACTTTATAATTTTTCAAAACAGTTAAGCTTCAGATATACTTAAATAAGAAGTTTATTGAAAGACTCTAAATGCCTTAAAAAGATTTCATCAAAGGAACATAAATTTTAAGGAAATCAGCCTATTTTTCAAAAAATAATGACACCAGTTACTGCGTTTCATTTCTTATTGTAAACTGTCTTTTTAATTCAATGAGAAGATGTGGCTTGGACGGTTTTGCCACGTAGGCTGTACCTATCCCATAAAGCTGCCACACCGGTACGAGAAATGGATGTCAGCTTTATTCTGCATATTTCATATCGTCAGGTCTAGTGTATGGCATAAAGACGTTTTCATCTGATGCACAGGGTCAGTTAAGCTCTTGGAAGAACAGTATCGAACGGTGAAGAGTTACTATTCCAAAACGAGATAACTTACCAGTACTGCATTACTTTGAGATAACAAGTTTCTCTGCTTGCAAAACAGAATGGCACGATGTGTTCTTTTTGCAACGTGGCAAGCCGTAGTGTGCTGCACTGCAGCAGCAATGTCGGCAGCTGAAGACAGAAGTTGCCCCTTCTCAATACCTGCAGAAACAAGCAGGCATTTGTAGGCAAAACCCAGGATTATTTATATGTCCAACTTTACTAATTATAAGTATACCTTCCTCTTTTTCCTTTTGCGTTATTGTCCTATCTATAACATGTTGAAGTCCAGAAAAAGAAAAATCACAATTTTTAGCACGTTGCATGGGAGGTTTGAAATCAAAATGCAGTTTATTTCCTTGTTTAGCCAAATGTTCTATAGCCTTCCCACCACTCATGGTGGAGCATTCTGGATGTTTTATTAAAGAAAGTCTTCTTGCTACCTATCAAAAACAAACAAAAATGTTTATAATGAATAAAAGTGCACATGTTGAACTGAAGATGCAAAGGCAATAAAAAACACACAAAACCCTGGATGGATAACACAAGCTCTACTTTTACTTCTGACAATCTGACCAATAGTGGCTGATCGCTGTCTCCTTATCTACTTTTGCTCTTCTACTGGGTATGGAAAATAGATTTGAAGTTAGCAATGACCCCTTAATGTTGAACTTCAAAAATAATTTCAAAAGTGAGATGAGTTTTCACATCTCATTTATTCCAGTCATTTCAACTGTTGGCAGCAGAATTTCTTTGTATGGCATTAGGCTGTGCAGGATTCTAAAACAAAGGAAACAGAAACCTGCCTGGTGGTCGTGTCAGCAACTGTGATGTTTAACCTTAGAACTCTGTGTATCTTTAATATCCTTATGTTATCTTTACCCTCACATTTCACATTTTTGAGTACTTTACACTTCACAAATATGCTTTCTTGCACATACATTATCCTAGCAGATTAAAAACCTAACTGTATTTGCAATCTCTTTGAGCCCTTATGCGTTGATGTAAACCTGAAAGAATCTTTTGTAAACTAGGTACTAGTTTTTCTTGTTTTACTGCACATACATTTTTCAGTCTAATATGATATCATTCAGAAACATTTAGGTGAATAGTACTAATGCAGCTATTACTATTTAACTGAAACTGACACCTTAAAAAAGAAGAGAGAAATTCTTAATTACCTTGTCAAGCATGTCACCCGGTGCTATGTCCAAAGACTTTCCAAGAAGCAGAAAATCTGAAACTCCTCTAACTAATGCCAACAGACAATGGCCTCCAGAAATCAAAAGAACTAAAAAAGGAAATTCTACTTTATTTGTCAACCTAATAGTAAGTGCGTGAGCTTCCATATGATGAATGGGAATGAAGGGCTTTTTCAACTGATCAACCAGCTGTAAGCTAAATGATAAGCCCACTCCCAAGCTTAAAGCAAGTCCTGGTTTTATGGTAGTTGCAATTGCTGAGAGTTCGCTTGGACTGACTTGACTGACAGATAGAGCTTCTTGTACTATTCGTTGAATGTTTTCTCTGTGAAGCTGTTGAGCTACTGGAGGAATAATTCCACCTGTTCTGAAAGAGATTATTAAAAAGCTTTTTATAATTTTAAGACTGTAAAATAGGAAGAAAAGTTATATATTATAGCTGAAGTTAAGTTTTTTAATCATTACATAGCTAAAAATGTTAAGTATTTTCAAATATGTGTCTTATAATGAATGCAGCACACTATAAGAACTCAGAATGTAGTACTAAATTAAGGGTATACAATGTTTATTTAAAGTGGTGCAAAAAACCTCCTACTGATTTGCTTGCTGATGAAAGAAATAGACAGTAGATAGAAAATAGGGACTTCTGCCAAGATGGAGAAGTAGGTGGAGGGTCCACCTCGCCTCTGTGCACAACCAAATCTAAGAACAACTATTTTTAACAGCCGTCACAACCAAGCCACACGGAAAATCGACAATACGGAGTCCAAAGGACAACTAGATACTCGGCTGGACCGGTATGAGGAGCGAGGCCAGAAGCAGAGCAGGTTAGCAAGAAAAAATTCCCGGGGCGGTGCGCGGGGCGCGCAGACAGCCGAGGGCTGATCGCCAGGGAGCTGGCTGCCGGAGCGCACAGGGAATAGGCGCGGTGGGTCGCTCAGTCGCGCGCATTTACGTGCGGAGAAACCAGTGAGAAGGGAAACCCGCGCGGTGCAGCAGGCTCGCAAAATTAGGATCGGATAAGCAAGCCCGAGGCGTTTGAGTGACTAGATGCGCTGGGCTAGCGGAGAGGAACGCCATCTCTCCCTCTCTGACCCCGCCCCCACACACAGCGTCACAAACCAGCGACTTGGGTCGCCCCGTCCTGGTAAACAACTAAGGCTTCGCTCCGCTCACTAAACAGCACGAATAAACCAAAAATGGCTCTAGAACCACTCAGAGCCCCAGAACCGATAGACCTAAGTGATGAAGAAATAGCCAGTCTTTCAGATGCACAGTTCAAAACACTGGTTATAAAGATCCTTACAGAACTGGTGGATTTTAGTCACAAATTAGAGAAACATATGGAAGCTAAATTAATTGAAATGAATGCTGATACAAAAGATACCAATAGTGATGGAAAGAAAATTGGGACTCAAATCAAGGGAGAGGACCAGACAGAAGAAAAAGATGATCAAGCAGAAAGGAATGAAGAAATAAGAATTCAGAAAAATGAAGAGAGGCTTGGGAACCTCCAGGACATCTTTAAACGTTCCAACATCCGAATTATAGGGGTACCAGAAGGGGGAAAGGCACAACCACCAGTTGAAAAATTATTTGAACAAATAATAAAGGAGAATTTCCCCAAGATGGCAAAGGAAATAGACTTCCGAGAGATCCAGGAAGCTCGGAGAGTCCCGAGGAAGTTGGACCCGGGAAGGAACACACCAAGGCACATCATAATTACATTAGCCAAGATTCAAATGAAGGAGAGAATCCTAGAAGCAGCAAGAGCTAAGGGGACAGTCACCTACAAAGGAGTTCCCATCAGACTGTCAGCTGATTTCTCAAAAGAGACCTTACAGGCAAGAAGGGGCTGGACAGAGGTATTCCAAGTCATGAAAACCAAAGATCTACAACCAAGATTGCTCTACCCAGCAAAATTTTCATTTAGAATGGAAGGACAGATAAAGTGCTTCTCAGATAAGGTCAAATTCAAGGAGTTCATCATCACCAAGCCCTTACTATATGAAATGTTAAAGGGACTTACCTAAGAAAAAGAAGATAAAAAAGATGAACAGTGAAAGGACAGCAAACTCACAGTTATTAAGAACCACACCTAAAACAAAAGCAAACTAAGAGGATAGCTAGATCAGGAGCAGAACCATAGAAATGAAGATCACAGGGAGGGTTAGCAACAGGGGAGTGGGAGGAGGGGAAGGGGGGAGAAGGTACAAAAAATAAGTAGTATAGACAGTAGATAGAAAATAGATAGGGGGGAGGGTAAGAATAGTAGGGGAAATACAGAATCTAAAAAATTTGAGACACATGTTCATGAACTAAAGGGGGAAATGGTGGGGGAGGGGTATGCAGGGTGGAGGGGAAGGGAGGGGGGAATAGAGCAAATGTAATGGCATAATCAATAAAAAATAAATAAAAAAAAAAGAAAATAGAAGGGGGGGCAAGAATAGCATGGGAAATATAGAATCTAAAGGACTTGAGACACATGGTCGTAAACTAAAGGGGGGGTAATGGTGGGGATGGGGGGTAGGGTGGAGGGGAATGAAAGGGGGAATAGAACAACTGTAACAGCATAGTCAATAAAAAATTAAAAAAAAAAAAGAAATAGCCAAAATAATCTTGAGAGGCATTTTAAGGAAGAAATTTGAACCCAAGAAGGACAGGATAAAACTGGATTTTAGAAAAATTAATGTCTCTGCAGTAGTAAGATTTTTAAAGACTTAAAGTTAGTGCAGAAGTGTAAGGTGATTACATCTTAATCTAGTGATTATGGGAATGAAAACAAAGGGAGAGAGCCTGGAAAACTGTAATAATTAATTGAATATAAGAGGAAAAGAGACAAAGGCATCAGAGGTGATTCAGATACTTAGCTGGAATGACTGGGAGTAAAGAAATACTAACAGAAACATGAAGAGTTTTGTAAAAAAAGATAAATTTATTTTTAAACACTCTGCAGTCACAGCAGGACAGAAGACAGCTTGCAATCCTGAAATAAAGTTTGTGCTCAGAGTCAACAATTTTGTTTTTTGATCCATGTAGGACAGATAGTGGTTAGTCACTCCAAATGTCACAAATAAACAATTAGGAGGTAAAGTTGCCAGCAAAAAAATTGCCAGCATGTGACAGAGAAGCAGAGCAATAAACTGTAGGGTCTGTGACATGTACCTCAACTCTTGAAAAAAAACGTCAAGCATCTGATGTTGAAGATCTGCTAGTTCTCTACACAGATGTTAAAAATCCTCAGTAGGAGCATACAGTGAATATTTACCTAATATAGTTGACCTATGAACAATGCAGGGGTTAGAGGTGCCAGCCTCCATGCAGTCAAAAATCTATGCATAACTTTGATTCCCCCAAAACTTTACTACTAATAGCTTAGTACTGGCAGTCTTACTAATAACATGAAGTTAATTAACACATATTTTGTATATGTATTAAATACTTAAAGTAAGCTAGAGAGAAGAAAATGTTATTTAAAATAACAAGGGAAACTACATTTGTGCTGTAGTAGAAACTACAGTACTGTGTTGTATTTATTGGTACCATGAGTTTATGTCTGTTTACAAGATATGAATCATCTATCACTACCTACATCAATATTGTCTTATGAGATACAAAACATTGCAGGTTTATACATATTACTAATACTAGACATTAAAAATGAAAAGATACTATGAGAAAATTTCATTTGTTTATAGGGCACAATGATTCATGCACTGATTACAAAGAAGCAGCAATGGGATTGCTTTATAGTAGTCTCATGTAATGGACACAATTGCATCACGATAGCCTAGTCTATACAATAATGAATGGCTATAAAATTTTTATGGCATGCAGTACAATAACCATATTCATTATACTGTTTTAAAAACATTGTTACATTTAGAAAAAGACATTTGCCTCTGATGATTGGCTGAAATGCAATTTCTCCAATGACAGGAGAGGGGCGTGCTGTACAGTAATTCTCTGAAAGCTAAGTTATACACCAGTAAGAAAACTAACACATTATTAAGTTTATGTTAAATAACACTCACCTTACGCTTAAGTATGGATAGGCTATCCACTTCAATACAGGTCTCGCATATGATGTTCTACATGAACAATACTTAAGTGATGACCATACAGAGAAGTCTCATACATTCTTGGTGTACAGTTATTAGATTCACATGAAAACACACACACATGACAGGTAAGTTTATTAACTGTGCAGCGTGATTATTTACTATTCATTAAGTGAAGTGGATCACTGTAAAGGATCCAAAGGATGAGGTCTTTAACCTCATCATCTTCACAAAGAGTAGGCTGAGAAGGAGGAAGAGGAGGCTGAGAGAGCAACCTTGCTCTCTCAGAGGTGGTCTTGCTCTCTCAGAGGTGACGGAGGCAGATGAGGTTGAAGAAGTGGAAGGGGAGGTCGGAGAGGCAGGCACATTTGATGCAATTATAGAAATACATCATCACTTCTGTCTCACTTTTTCCTTTTTCATTGTTTAAAAAATATTTCTGTAAACACCAATCCTTCTTCCACTGTTTGCTTTAATTTCAGTCCCATATTATAGAAGAGTCCATGCCATAAAAGAAGTAAAAAGCAGTCCTGAATTACTGGAACCCTTCTGCCAGATTATCTAATGTCAATGTGTTTTCTATCACTGCTTCTTCTACATCTTCTTCATTATCTGGTACTGGTTTGGAAGCACTCATCTCCATCAAGTTGTCATTTGTTAATTCCTGTGGTGTGGTATCTATTAGCTCTTGATTTTCTCCAAGATCCATATTTTGAAACTCTTCACCCCCACCTTTTTTGCTATATCTGAAACCTCTTTCATGACTTTCTTGATTGGCTGCCGTAAGTCCTACGAGGCCATGTACAACATCTGGACAGTTTTCTCCAGCAGAAATTTATGTTTTGGGGCTTGATGGCTGTCACAGCTTTTTCTATAACAATGGCATTTTTAATGGTGCAATCCCTCAGACTTTCATGACATTCTCTCCATCTGGGTTCTCTTTTACAGCGTTGACAATCCTTTCCACAGGGTCCCATGTGTAATGAGTCTTAAAGGCCCTAACGATCCACCCTCCCCTTACCCCTGCACCCTGGATTAGAGGTTGAATTAGAGATGTTGTGTTGGGAGACAAACAGATCATTCTGATGCCTTTAGTGTTAAACTCACAGCTTTCTGGGTGGCATCAAAAGAACTTGAAGAGACAGTCCCTTATTGGCTGAGTACTTCCTGACTTCAGGGACAACACATGGATGGAACCAATCCAGAAAAAGGGTCCTCATTATCCAGGCCTTCTTGTTGTCATACTACCAAAAGACTGGCAGCTGGTGGTTATCTTTTTCCTTCAAGGCTTAGGTGTTAGCAGCTTTATAGATAAGGTTAGTCCTGGTCGTAAATCCAACTGTATTTGCACAAAACAGTAGAGTTAAGCCTATCCCCTCCTGCTTTAAATCCTAGTGCTCACTTCTCTTCCTTACTCTCTTCCTTACTAATAAATGTCCTTTGTGGCATTTTGTTTTTCCAGAATAGGGTACTTCTGTCTGCATTAAAAACCTGTTCAGGTGGATATCCTTTCTCCTCAAATGATTTTCTTAACATCTGGGAACTCATCTGCTGCCTCTTGGTCAACAGAAGCTGCTTCACAGGCCATCTAGACATTTTTTAAGCCAAAACTCTTTCTAAAATTATCAAATCATCCAATGCTGGCATTAAATTCTCCAGCTTTAGATCCTTCACCTGCATTTTACTTTGTCATGTAATGACTTCACTTTTTCTATAGGTATGCCTTTCTTAATAGCAGTCCTGCACCCACATAAAAGCTGTATTTTCAATATGAGATAAAAAGGTACTTCCTAAGAAGTGCAAAATATTTACAACTACTGACATAGCTGCAGCAACAGCTTCATGATTTTTTTTAAACAATGACCCTTATACTGGATTCATTTATCTTAAAATGGCAGGCATATCCAGACATATATCAAGCAATCCAACTTTTTCCTGTAATGTCATAACTCTTCTCTGCTTGGAGCACCTCCAGCATCACAAGTGGCACTTCATATGGGTCCCCTGGTGTTATTCAAGGTTTATGATACTGCACAAAACACAGTGAAAACTACACAAGAATCCCAAGTAGATCACTTTCTACCATGATACCCAATTTACCGAAGAGATGAACTGCTACGTAGAGGTATCAGAGACAAACAGCACTTCAAGCTGATACAACACTTGAGCTTACTGCAATAGCAGCAGGTGGCAGCTACAAAACTATTACAGTAGTGCAGTATGTACTACAGTTAATTTTATGCAGTTATGATTTATTATTTCATCTTTGTTGGTTTATATTTCTCCTAGTTGCAAATGGCACTGTGTATGGTCTATAAATATATTAATAAGTTTTTATATATTTTAACTTTTTAATAATAGATTTGTGTAGTAAAATAGATTTTATGGTAGTGAATGATAAAGTAGACTAGTATCTACATATATTTTATACATTCATGACGTAAGTTTTTCTTGTTTTTTCAATATTCCTAAGCTATGTGGTTCATTTGCAAATTTTTCCAAATTGTCAGATATCCAAAAATATTTTCCAATATATTTACTGAAAAAAAATCTATGCATAAATGGACCTGCACAGTTCAAACCTGTGTTGTTCAAGGGTCAACTGTATGTCATATCTTAGAGATCAGGTTTGCTTCTTGAAGGCAAAGACTTTCTAGTACTTCACTAGGCCTTACTAACACCTGCCAGTCACTTTCACATATTATGTAACCATTCGAGGCCTATTCTGCCTCTTCACCTATATTATTTCTAATTATAATATTCTATATTATTTCTATTATATTTCCCACAACCGTATATGGTAGGCATCCTTCCCACTTTATGGGTGTAAAACAGAATCAGACAAGATGAAGAACTTGTCTTAAGGCAGCCAATACCAAATGCCTAATTCATAATTAAAATACAGGTCTGTGATCTCAAAATACCAACCTTTTTCACTATTCACCCATTTTAAATTAAGCGCTTCAAGGCATTTTTAATTTGTACAGTGCTTCAACATATTTTGAATTAGCTACTAATTTAAAAAATCTGGAGATATTACAGTAACATTCTGGATTTCCATTTTTTGAAAATTTTGATGATCAAATAATATAGGGTTTATATACCTGCATGGCAATAATTGGCTGGAGCTAAGTACTAACTTGCTTAGTATTTTCCACTTCGTATCCAGCCTACTTATTTATGTAACTTACCTGGTGGTCCTCTGGAAACATCTTAGTTTATAAAACTTGCACCATTCTGTGCTTCAATACAATAATATATTATTCTTACAGTACCAACATGAGTTATATATATAAATGTGAATAGGATTTTTTGTTTTCAGTGATTAACACAGGCTAGAAGTCAGGCTTTCCTAAGACTGCAGCTGGCAACATGATACACACAGGTGAACAAAAGAGGAAGGGCATTACTGAGGGGAAGTCACGGATAAATACTGGAGTTGGGAATGACCTTAGTTTCTTTTTGTCAACAGGATTAACTAAGATTTAAACTTTATTGTGGAGAGCCTTAAAAGCCAGGACTGAGAGGTTTTAAAAAGTTAAAGACGAAATTAGCTCCTAAAATTTAACTTTTATATATGATAAATACAAAAGAATTATTTTACTTTTTTCCAAAAAAGTAAGTACCAACAAGATAATGTCTACTTACTTCAAATGAACTTCAGTTTGAGAATGTATTGCTTCTCCCAAAATATTTCCAGTTTCATCCACCACAGCAGCTGCTGTATCATCACAACTGGTTTCAATTCCCAACACTAGTTTATGAAGAAATACTTTTCCAGGATGAAAATTAAAACTTCTTAAATATTCATAAATTTTCCTTTTTGATGGTTTACAAAAAACTCCTGCTGTCTTATTCAATATTAGCATACTTACTCTATAGATAATTCCTGGAAAAGAATGAAAGAAACCAACTAAATATTATTTGGAAATGACATGAGCCATTAGCACATTTAGTTAAGTAAAATTCTGAAAGGTTGGTTTATATTTTAATATAGAGTTTTATAAAATTATAGGAAAGATTTGTAAAAGCAAAAATCTTTAAAGGCTGTAGCAACTTGTTATATAATTATATAATTTATATAATATAAAGAACAGTATGAATTCAATGGTCTTCAAGGGGGAAAACAGGACAGTGAGATATACTTTTTCATTACTATTATTTTCATGCTCTTCTTACTAAACAACTCATTATTCTTTATTAAAAAGCTGATATTACGGTACAATGGCAGCACAGAATAGTCCTTTGGGAAGTGCTATTTATTTTTTGACAGCGGAAATTATGGCAAAATGGAACAGTAAGAATAAATGCAATCCATTTTCAGGAAACATTCTTCAAAATAAAATATAGTCATTTCATTAGAAAACGGAGTACACACAAAACACACTCAAAATAAAATTTAGTCGTCTAGTTTAGAAACAAGTGTTTTCATACAGCTTATCTTAAATGAACCACATCTCCACTAGAGACTGCAACTTCCTACCTATTTTATCCATTAATTACAATTTTTCTAAATAAATTTACCTTTTCACCACAGCTTGATCACAACAGAGATCTTCTCAAACCCTATTTTTTCCAAAATAACAGTAGTCCATCACCAAAGGCCCCTGGTATTTCCACACTGCCATGTATCTGGTTTCATGCTCCCAAATTACTTGTTCTAAAACTCTCTGGGTGTTTACTAAGCAGGCCTCTCCCTACCTACTACACTACTGACAACATGGAAAAAACAGTGAATAAATATTGGAACTTTTATTGTTCCACTGGGGCAGAGGGCATCCAGGGGCTGGATATCGACCACAGACAACAGCTAGGGCAGTGCTTCTCAGACAGTGAGAAATTGGATGTGCAATCACTAAATCCACGCAGGGCAGCTAGTGCCAAGTACAGTACTTTTCTTTTGGTCAAGAAGGCTCCCAAGTGAACCTGGGGATTTCGCCCGCGTTATCTGCTGTAAGAAGGCGAGGGACTCGGTCTGGAACCGCTTTCCCAAGTGTGCAAAACCGGGCAGGGGTGAGCATTCACCCACCTCTGGTGAACAACAGTAGCTAGTTTTCCTCCCCTTCCCGTGTAAGGACCGCTCGAGTGCCGGTTGTCTGACGCCGTAACGCCCGACGTAGGCGCTCCGGAAATGATGTCATCAGTACGGTGTCCCGTCCTGTTGTCCGGCCAGCTGCGATTACAGTGGAGGGCGTCCGTCACTCTTAACTCAGCGTAAATATACGCGTAAACCTTATCTTGCCCAAGACCCTGTGCCTGAGCTCCTGCCTTTTCTCCTAGGTTTCTAGGTAACAAGACTTCTCTATAAGGTCAGAGTGCTAGTGAGTGAGCTAGCGGAGGGAGAACACAGATTTGTCTAACAGCGTACCATTAACACTATGCTACATTAGAAGAAAAAAAAATTATTTGGCTGGAATTCGGACGCCCCTGTGAGAAAATGATTGGTAGATTGTTCGTCATTCTATGTTGGAAGAACTCTCACCAAACTGCATGGTGTGGCTTGAGATATTTAATATTTTAAGAGACTGGAAACTCAGGGCGCCCGCAAGGACTTGTATGGGGTCCCCAGAGAACCGAAGCGTTTCTGGTCAGAAAGTAGTAAAATGTTACTCCCACTTCACTTGAAGTAAAAGATCTGGGGCTGGTTTTTTTTGTGTGTGATGAAGAATAAGAGGGGAGTTGTGGTGAATATTCACTTATAAAAAATTTAATATCCTATCTTTGCAATACATTATGTGGTCTTTGCCTGTGTACACAACTTCAGCATAGTATGTCTTCAGATTCTTGCACCTCCATTTTTGATTGGTATGTAAGCTTATTACATTTGTTCAAATAGATTTGAGGCTTTCTTCTCTGCTAAGCTTTAAGATTTTACTAAACAGGGACCTTATAAACGCAAGGTTGATACAGCTGGTACATATACTTGTGCCTTGCAGTGTGAAGTTCTTGGTAAAAAAAAAAAATGAATAAATCACAATCGGAAAGTCACAGATATAGTCTAGTGGTAGATACATTACCAGATTGTTTGGAAAGTTATTTATGTGTAACTCATGTTTTCCAATATTTTCATTTATCTGTGACAACCACAATTAACAATAAAGTGTCACTATGTGCCAGGCACTCTTGCAGATTAATTTATTTCACCCTCCCATGAGGTAGTTACTGTCTTCATTTTAGACACAAGGCAACTGGTTCATAAAATTTGGGTGACATTCAGGTCATACAGCTAGTAAGTGCAGAGTTAGAAGTCAGGCCATCTGCCTCTGGAGTCTGTTTTCTTAATTGGTAGAAGATAAAATAACTCCTATTTTCCCTATGCTGTATTGTTGACCCCAAAGAGGAAAAAAAATTAAGACCTAAAAAATTAGTCATCCTATTTGATTTGGTGTAATAGGCTAGAAGTTGTTTTCTATTATGCACTGGAATCTAGCCTGAACACAGAACCTTTCATATCTGGCATCATTTTTCTTGCAATTTGAATTATGTTGAGCAGGTGTGGCCTAATGCTCTCTGTGTTGTCAAGAGTTATCCTTGTTGTGTATGCTAGTATCGTTGGTAGATTCCTCATCTGGGCATCTTTGGCTGATGTTGAGTCTGAGTGTAACATTATGTGAAACAGCAGAGCTCTAGGACACATTAGGAAGGAATTTTATTCTTCCTTTGATTGCATGTTAGTACAAATGGCACTTTACCAGTCCCACATATTTGGGAAGTGAAGGTATACATCTTCCATCTTCTTTACTGCACTAGAGAAGTTATTGGAGGAAAGGGTATTCTCTGAGACAAGTCTTGGCTTTCAATAGACCAGATCATGTGGTTTGAATGGCACTCATAGGCATTCTCATGAAATATGGCCTCACCACTGTAACTTCAGCTTGAGTTGAGAATCCCAAATAAATCTAAATATGCTTATTTTGCCTCTGTTATTGTCTAACTTTCCACTTGTAAATTTTAGAGGAAAGTTATTTACTGAAGAATCTTTACAATACTTGTTCTCTAATTATGTCTCACTAACTTGGATTTCATCATATATGTATTGGATTCTTCCCTTTGGGTAGGAACTTTATTAGTTGTTAGAGATAAAATATCCATTCTCTATCTTCAATTAACCAAGTCTAGTAACAGGTCATTGCAATACAGCATTATGGAAAGTGTGTGCATTGAGAAAGTTGCTTGGGGAAGGTGGTACAGCTTGCCTGTGTGATTGCTGGGTTTCAATATGATTCTTTTCTAGGCTTGAAATTTGTTTACCAGAAGTGTATAGACTGTGGAATACTTAGTCACACATTCAATTTGCTAATAAACTATGTAAGAACCATTATACTGATGTATTAATTTATGAGAAATGTAACGATGGAGTTAACAATAGTTTAACTTGCTAGTCCTCACACCTTCTCTGTATTGACCAAATTTCAATGGAAGCAATAGAAATAAATGAGCTTGGTGCTTTTAATGGCTAATGCTTTCAGCCTGAGGCACCCCTTCCCACTTGAGTCACATACTGCTCTTACTTTCATCATAGGTTGGATTGTGCTAAAAATATACCATCATTTCCCTTTCTCCTCTGTAAGTTTCTTTGTTAACAAATATCTCTTTTGATATGAAACATGTCATTATGCTTACTTTACAAATTTATCCTTAGATGATTTTAACCATTTTTAGGTGTACAGTTCAATGGTATTAAGTACATTTCTATTGTGCAACCATCACTACCATGTTACCATCCATCTCCAAAACTTTTTCATCTTCTCTAACTCTGTATCCATTAAACGCTAATTCCCCATTTCCCTCCCCTGCCCCGCCTGAGGCAACCACCATTCTGTCTATCTTTATGACTTAGACCACTGTAGGTATTTCATGTAAGCAGGATCACACAATATGTATTCTTTTGTGACTGGCTTGTTTCTCACTTAGCATTGACATCCAATGCTGTAGTGTGTGTCAGAATTTCCTTTTAAAGGTGAACAATATTCTATTGTGTTTATATACCTCATTTGTTTATCCATTCATCCTTCCATGGACACCTGGGTTGCTTCCACCTTCTAACTACTGTGAATAATGCTATAAACATGGGTTGTACAAGTATCTTTTCAAATCCCTGCTTTCACTTGTTGTGGGTATATACCCAGAAGTGGAATTGCTGGATCATGGGGTGATTCTGTTCAATTTTTTGAGGAATTGACATACTCAGATGATCTTATTTTTCTAGTGTGTAGGGTTCACGTGTCTTTGGCACAGGAGGGAAAGGGTGAATCTCTGTTACTCTCATATACTTCCTATGGCTCTTAGGTGCCAGGATAGAAGTACATGGTTTGATAATTCATTGACAGGCCAAATATTTCAAAGCAGGATTACTGTATGAGGTTTTCACGCAGTGGTGGTATACTGGTATCTTCTTGGGCAATAGCTAATAAACCATCTGGCTTCTCTGTTCCCATTTTAAAAAATTATAAAATGAAGAAAGTAATGTATGCTTATTTTTATAATATAGTCAACATAAATACATAATTTTTGCAAAAGCTGGAGGCTTTTCAAAATGTGCTGTCAATAAAAATGTATAGCTATATAATTGGAAAGTCAGGAAATGTATATAACTATAAAATTCCTATTATTTTGTATTTTAAAAAGAGTTCATTCCACAGTGTTAATGATATTTCTTTACACTCATTCTTGTATTTGAGAAGAATGTATCTTTCACAACATAATTATGCAGTTAGATTGAAAGGACAAGTGATAAACTCTGCTTATCTGCTGAATTTAAAATTATATAAATCTTCAGAATTACAGGTTGAGTCATTTCCACAACTATTACCTGCTTATCATGAGCTTCAATGAATCAATAAATTGAATAAATTACAGTTATGCTAAACATAAAATTCAAACATTTTACTAAACTATTTTTAAATTATGAACTATTCTAGAATATGAATAAGTATTAAGAATAAAATAATCAACTGTGAATCCAACAAGAGCTAAAACTTATAACCAAATACAGTTGAATTATATGCTGTATACCCAAGATATTCAGCATTCTAAATTTGATGTTTATATTCTCATGTGTTCATTTGTACTAAATGAGAAAAATTTAAATGCCATGTAGCAAACTATCTGTTGAGTCATTTTTTAACTGAAACTGAGATTAGAGAGTAAAATAAAAATCAGATACATCTCACTACTTTGCTTTTGACAACAAAATGAAAGGGAATTAATCTTTGCTATAGGCTTGCCTACCTCCTTTCCCTGCCCAATGCTACTTCAAACTTCCTTTTAGAGTATTTTACCTAGACCAGTCTTCTCAGCACTGAACATGTTTACATTTATCACATCAATCTGTAATACCCATGTAATTGTTTCAGGAATTACTCATCTATCTGTTCTGTTAGAAAGATTACTAAATTGCACTGGTGTATATAGGATCGCTGCATTTGTCATCGTCAAATTAGCATGACAGTATTTGGGGTCATAATTTACTGATGACATATATTAACATAGGGGACATAATGTAGGAGAAATATATTGCATGACAATCAGACCTAGACAAGATGAATCAATGGACTAAAATCTAACAAGACGAGGTTCTATAGTTAAAAAACCTTAGACTTTGGTTTAATAACTCCATTAAATAAGTACATGAAGGAAAGCCATCATTTAACAGCACTACATGTAGAAGACTTGAGGTTTTAGTCATTGATTCATGAAAGTGAGTCAGTGAAAGTGGCTTTCAAAATAGCTAAAATGATATTAGACTGCACTTTTAAGAAGTATGGATGGACCTGTAGAACACTATGCTAAGTGATATAAACCTGTCAGAGAAAGGGAAATGGCATATGATTTCACTCGTATGTGAAATGTAATGAACAAACTGAACTAACAAGCAAAATAGAGACAGACTTACAAAGAACAGGATGACAATTAAGGGGAGGTTAGGGGGGTGGAGGCATTAAGCAAAAAGGAAAAGGGACACATGGACTCAGTGTGGCAATTGCTGGGGGAAGGAGAGTATAAGGAGACTAACTGGTAATAAAAAAACAATAAATGCTTTTTAAAAAACAAGGGCAGTGGTACTATTGTAGAGACATCACATCTTATCACTTCTTTTAGTTACCTCTAGTGCTTAGTAATGAACTTACAGCAGAACTACCAGGATGGTGGGAGAAATTTGAAACCATGTCATATGAAAAATGGTGAAGGCTCGGCTAATGTTTATTCAGTGTTATTGTTAACCATTTAAAAGTTAAACAGTTGAGTTCATAGAATATATAGTTACATATAAAATAAGGATTAGATTATTGCTCAGTGTAAAAGAAGTTATATATTCCATTACAAAAATACAGCCTTGTAAGTTGTTAAGTCCTACTAACCCAGAACTGAATGATGGCATGGTAGGGGGTTGAATTACACAGCTCTAACCTCTTTTTAAACTCATAGCAGCATACAGCTCTATAAGGCTAATTAACACAGATATTAGTTAAGGAGATATTGTTATGCCCCTTCGAATCTTCACAGTATAATAGATAATAGTGCCATAAACCTAAAAAATATAGTTCGATGTTAAAAAAAATAAAAAAGAATGGGCAGGTCAAAAGGACACAGGAGCCAACTTGGAAAGTTCTTTGGGAACTTTGGCTCCCAAGGCCAAAGCTGGAAGACAATTTGAGGCAACAAATTAATAATGATAATAACAGGTTATAAACCAAAGAATAAAATATCCAAGAATCTATAATAACATAATAAATTAAATAAATAAAAGGGAAAAATCTTCTTATAGAAGAATTCCAATAAATAAATGTAGATGGAATAAGGAAAATAGGAAGCTGGAATGTCACATTAACAATTGCTGCAGGAATGATTCACCAATGAATGCTAAAATTGGTGGCATTTCTGAGCTCATACCTGTATAGAAATTGTCATTGCATCTCCTGACTTTAAATTAGGAGCAATTATAGCATAACAATTATTTGGGACAATGATTTTGTTACAAATAATAGTTATTATAGATTGTTAAAGGGTTTTTTTTTACATTAAACTGTACCAACTTATGAAATTGAAACCAGTTTCCATATTTAACACAATTAATCACCTAGGTGTTAAGACCAAAAAACTAGGGGTGATGTAGTTTCCTCCCTGCACCATGAATTCAATACATAAGGGTCTTTTGAGCTGTATTTGCAAAACACAGCCCAAATCTACTATTCACCACTTTGTCAGCTATTTCCCTAGTCTGAGCTATTGTACTTTCTGCCTGTAGTAGTGACCCAACTATTCTTCCTACTTCTTATTCCTTACAGTTTATTCTCAATATTAGCCCTAACCTTAAAAAAATCAGATCCCTATAATCTGTATAAAACTCTCCAATGGCTTTGTCAAGCTTAGCATAAAATTTGCTCATTACCTTGGTCTATAAAGCCCTATATGATCTGACTCCTACCTAATTCTCTGATGTCATTTACTACCATTCTCATCCTCCTTATTACTCCTTTCTAGCTCCAATGATGGTCTTGTTTATTATCAAGCACACTACCTTCATTACACTAGGAGCCTCTTTTCCCAGATCTATGTCCATCAGTAAGGTCACCTTGGTTAGGATCTATAAGGAAATCCTTTCTGAAGCAGACTCCCCTGCCTTTCACTGACTTAATCCTACCCCACACCCATGGCATTTATTACTACTTAAATGATGTGTATTTATTTACTCATTTATTACCTATTCTCCAACCTGAAGGTAAATAAGGGAAAGAGATTGTTTTGTCTTGTTTACAAACTGTACCCATTATACTTAAACCAAAGTGGGCTCTCAAATATCTACTGAATAATGTTTTTAAAATGTGGAAGGGCAAAAGTAAGAAAAGTAGCAGAGGGTCTAGGTTGGAGCCAGAGTTCTATCTCTGAAGTATGTGTAAAAAATGTAAGCCTTCTGAGATAACTTTAAAAGTGAAAACAAATGAGTACTTTTAACTACCTTTATTTTTCATAAATTCTGTTGCTGAAAAAAAAACCTTGAATAATAAAAGTGCAATGCTGATGACCAATTTAGAAACACTCTGCAATAATCCTACACCAAAAGAAATTTTATTGAAGTATAGATTACTAGTTACTTAAAAATACATGGGAAAAGACAAAAATACACAGAAATTATCATACAACTGATTTCTAAAGTCAAAACTCTTGAAATACAAAACAATGATCACTACCAAAAAGTCAGTTTATTGTTTTAATAAACTGGTCTATAACTCTTTTCACTCAATTTGGTTTATAAATGTTACTGGGTTTTTTCAATTTCACCACAAAGATCAGAATTTTGGTTTTTGGATGTATTTACTTCTCAAAGTTGTATATATATTTATTTCTTGTAATTGCAGCAATTACAGGAAGTTTCTCTAAATCACAAGAATTCACTATGGTTACTGCTTTGGAAATAGTTGGGTTATCTACACAAAGACTCATGTATTTAAAGTCAAAATGCTATTGGATAAAGTATGAAGATTGAGAGCAGGAAGACAAAGAAAAGATGCTGTTATCTGTTACTGCAGATCTGCTAAAAAAAAGCCTCCATTATTTACTTTGGTACTATTGCTAGAAAAGTAGTTGCTGCCAGACCACAGGTTGACTATATAGTTGTCCATTTTATATTTACTTTTCTAAAGAATGGCAGGCTTTAACAATTAGATTGCTCAATCAAAGAAGCAGAGACTTTTAAATTACCATATACTTTAACTGCATGAAATAAATTATTTTCTGAAATGGTTAGCAGCCTTGTATCTGCAAAGGCAGCAAAACCCACTTTGTTTCAAAATTAGAAGGCTGACTCAGAGGCTGTTTATAAGATGCCTAGTTATCTTCTATCACCAAGCAGTCATGAAAGTGGACCTTCATAAACTTAGTAACTTTATAAATGTAAAAGTGATCTTATCCATCAACACACAATGTTGAATCAACATAACGAAAAAAGTACACTCATAAGGTAGAAATTGGTTTGTATAAAACAAGAGGGTACCTATATCCTCTTATGTAACACAAGAGGAATATATATGTAATAAAAGGATCTACAATAAACTTGTAAAGAGATGATTTCAATTTACATATAAGTCAGCTTAAACTAACATGACTGAGTGATTGGAAAGTTTCTTCTCCTAACATAATGCCCATTCGTTATAAGCTAAGCTGGTCTTAATTTCTTATAAATCTCCTATTTCCTTGTATTTATTTACTTCACCCTCATTTTATAGCCATTCAATTTATATGCTGGGCCTTCCCAGTCTGCCTGTAAAGACTCTCATCAGAATTATACCAGGTGCATTAAACACAAGTAACCTCTAGTAAAAACCTGCACTTCAAAACAGCTTATGAAGAACCAGCAAAAAGGCTCTCCAATGTAAATACCTCTCATTTCAAACCATCACAGAAACAGTGCAGTTTACTAACCACTCCTTCATTACAGGCAACTCAGTAGCTGTAAAAGTTTTTCTTCAGTTTCAAAACCTTTCAATACTTGTTAATTCCAAAGATCCGAACACCATGTAGCTGTGGCATTTTGGGGATTAGCACACTCAGGAGAGAAGCTGTGTTTAGGATGAAGTGAGTTGGATCATACTTCGTATAGAAACTTGCCAGAAAATATCTGTAGAAATAGAAGTTAAGAGTATATGTAACATCTAAACACAAAACTAGAATTTTTTTAAAATTTAAAAGTAGAAAAAAAGGCCACTGAAATGTAAATACCTCAAGGCAGAACTGTTTTTGAACACTAAAACAAAAGGAAACAGTTTGAGGACCTAAATTAACTTTACTTAGAATTTAATTTTTTAATGGAGCCATATATGCACATTTTGTACATCTGCAATTATGTTAAATGCATTTAATAGAATACGTTTGCTACTTAGCGTCCTTTAGAGCAAGCTTTCAAACTAGGATTCATATGCTCCCTTAAATTTCAGGCATTTTGTATTTATGTGTATGTTTCTGAAGGGAAGATACAGATCAAAAGGATATATCATATTCTCTTGAGGGTTTTGTGATCCACCAAAGGATTAAGAACTGTAAAGCTGTGGAAAATGGGGTTAGTGCATTAGTACAATTAATGTCTTTGAAGGAAAACAATACTTAATTGCCATTTTAATGGTCTCATTTCCATTCTGTTGATAAACAGGTCTATGACCAGTTTAACTGGAAACTTAAAAGACACTTGTAAAATTCCAGTTGTTTTGCTGTAATTGAACACACATACATACTCAAAGACACTCAACATCTAAAGAATTTGTTTTAACAAGCCTGAACCATCTGTAAGACCATAAATAATTGAGTCAGAATGTTTAGTTTTACCCAAGGCGTACATCAAAGTACAGACACATCATCTGGCCCCTAATATAGACAGGTTTAAAAAAAATAAAACATTATAACTAAGAAGTTAAGTTTGTATATGATTGTTTGTCTAATTTGTATTTTTAGAGTACACAGGAAAGTATACTTACAGCTTCTCTGCTAAGAACCATCATTAGGTTCTCATAAGGGGAAGTAAGTGTTTAGATATAGTTAAAAAAGGAAAACTATTTTCAAACCTCACAAAAAATATCAGCCCTGGCTGGTGCAGCTCAATGGACTGAGAGTGGGCTGAGAACCAAAAGGTTGCCAGTTCAATTCCCAGTCAGGGTACATGCCTGGGTTGCAGGCCAGGTCCAGGTAACCACACATTGATATTTCTCTACCTCTCTTTCTCCCTCCCTTCCCCCCTCTCTAAAAGTAAATACATAAAATCTTTAAAAATAAAAAAATTAAAAAACGGAGAGCTGTATACAAAACCACCTAAATTGAAATATTCTATCTTCCACTTCACAAATTATATAGTCAGAAAATTCTTTCTTGAGAATAATCCACATTCCTTAATCTTTACTCTAAACCCTTTCTTCCTGCTTTCATATACTTGAATGAGCAAAAATTAGATACCACTTGCATTTAGTAAGCTTATTTAATTTCCCATCACTATTATGCTTTTACTCTATAATTTGATATGTTGAAAACAATAAATATTCTCAGAATGACTTCTCCTTATCATACAGTAGCATATATTCCCTTTATACCTTCTAATAAAAACTGTGTGTGTAGATTATATGAAAACTACTTGACTCTTAAAAACACCAGACAAGCTTCTAAGAAGATGAAAAACTAAGTGGGAATCAGTATAATAGTGTTCATCTGCCAAAGGCTATACTGGAAAGAGACTGTAGTAGAAGCTAGAAGTTTACAGATTCGTCAGGGCTATTGACTCCAAAGAGCTGCAAGGTCTGGAGCAAAAAATGTACCTGAGACTGTTTCTTTATCTAAAAATTTGGGTAACATTGCACATCCATCTACCTGACAAATAATGATCAAATAGGAAAATGTGAAAGCACTCTGAAAAGTACCAATACTATATGGTTTTAATGCTGTTTCTTCAGTTATGTAAGAAATTTAATCAAAGAATACTTGAAATCATGCCTATGGGTCAAAAAATATTTTTAGAAATATGGATTAAAGAATTAAATGTTAGATTCAAAACCATAAAAATCTTAGAAGAAACTACCGGCAGTAAAACCTCAGACATTTCTCGTAGCAATATTCTTTCTGGTATATCTCCTCGGGCAAGGGAAACAAAAGGAAAAATAAACAATTGGGGCTACATTGAACTAAAATGTTTTTGCACAGAAAACAATCAACAAAATAAAAAGACAACTCACTAAATGGGACAACATATTTTCCAGTGATGTATCTCATAAAGGGTTAATATAAAAATTTTATAAAGAACTTATTAAAAAACTCAATACCAGAAAACAAACAATCCAATTAAAAAGTCGGCAAAGAACCTAAATAGACATTTCTCCAAAGAGGACACATGAATGGTCAACAGACATATGAAAAAATACTCAAAGTCCGAAATCAACAGAGAAATGCAAATTAAAACCACAATGAGGTAATACCTCACCTGTCAGAATGGCTATCATGAATAAATCAACAAACAAGTGTTGGCGAGGGTGTGGGGAAAAGGGAACACATCGTTGGTAGGAATGCAGATTGGTGAAGCCTCTCTGGAAAGCAGTATGAAATTACCTCAAAAAATTAAAAATGGATCTGCTTTATGATCTAGTGATTCCACTTCAGGGAATATATCTGAAGAAACCTGAAACACTAATTCCAAAAAATATATGTACCCGCTATGTTCTTTGTACCATTATTTACAATAGCCAGGATTTGGAAGTAGTCCAAATGCCCATTAGCAGATGAGTGGATTAAAAAACTATGGTACACGTAAACAACAGACTACTACTCAGTCATAAAAAAGGGAAATTTTACCCTTTGTGACAGCACATGTGGACCTAGAGAGTGTTATGCTAAGTGAAATAAGCCAGTGAGAGAAACACAAGTACCATATGATTTCACTCATATGTGGAATCTAATGGGCAAAGTAAACTAACAAACAAAATAAATTCAAAGATAGAGAACAGGCTGACAGCTGCCAGAGGGGAGAGGCATAGTGGGGCTGGGTAAAAAAGGTAAAGGGAGAGCAATGGGGAAAAAAGTGGGACAACTGTAACTGAACAGAACAATAATAAAGGAAGGAAGGGAGGGAGGGAGAGAGAAAGAAGGAAAGAAAGAAAAAGGAAAGAAAGGAAGGAACAAAAGGGAAGGAAAGGAAGGAAGGGAGGGAAGGAAGGAAGAAAGAAAAAAGATTGGCTAATGACACAGATTTTTAGTTTGTATTTGAGATCTTGCTCCCCGGTTTATGCAAAAAAAGAAAAAAGGTAAATGGATAAGTAAAAAATAAACAAAAACAACAACAAAAAACCCTTCGTGGTTGCAGGCAACAACACAGTTATAACCAGAGGGGACAGGGGCTGGGGGAAGTACAACAATGTGTAGGGGGGATAAATGGTGATGGAAAGAGACTTGACTTTAGGTGGTGAACACACAATACAATATACAGATGATGTTTTCTAGAACTGTATATCTGAAACCTAAATAATTTTATTAACCAATGTCACCCCAATAAATTCAATTAAAAAAAAGAAAGAATAGAAATATCAATGCTGTACACAGGTACATCTCAGTTGACCACTTTTGTGATAGCACTTATTGAAAATTCATCATGTCAGGCTTTTATACATATATTATCATTAAACCCTCAACATTTTAGACATGAGGAAACTGAGGCTTTCAAGAAAATGGTCAAGTGATATAGCTAGAAAGCAGTACAGCTAATATTCAAAATTAAAGCTATTTGAATAACCATTATTCTTGTTATTGTATTTCACTTTGTTAGACTGTACAAATCATTTTTCTTTTGACAGTTGTTTTAATTGTATAAAACAATTAAAAATTTAAAAGCTTCCTCAAAGTGCTATAAATATACAAAAAACAAACCTACCACTTTTTGATCAGTTTATTCTTTTCATTTGAAAATGCCTTCCCTTACTTGAACATCTATCCAAAACCTAACCTCCATTAAATTTCAGTTTAAGGGCCCTGGCTGGTGTAGCTCAGTGGATTGAGCGCGGGCCTGCGAACCAGACAATTGCAGTTCGATTCCCAGTCAGGGCACATGCCTGGGTTGCAGACCAGGTCCCTGCAGGCCAATTCCCCGCAGGGGACGCACGAAAGGCAACCACACATTGATGTTTCTCTCCCTCTCTCCTTCCCTTCCCCTATAAAGATAAATAAATAAAGTATTTAAAAATTTTTTCAGTTTAAGGAATTCTAACACCTCCAAGAAGTCTTTCCAGCTACTGTACACTGCATTGATTCTATCCATTACCTATAAGCTATGTGGTATAGACAGTTTGATTAAAAGATATGTGAAACATGTATTATTACGTGTAAGCAAATGTACTAAGTGTGGAATTGAAAGCAATCTATGTACTGACAAATTCTTTGCAGAAATAAAACATAATAATAAAAAATATAAAGTCCATAAACAAGAGATCTATAACAACTGCTATGGAAATTCAAAGCAGAGCATTATGGCTAAAGGTTGGGTGCTTAGGAAAAGACCTCACTGAAGATCTAGAACTCAAATCTTGAAAGAACAGTAAGACATAAATTAAGAAAGAAGGAGGCATTTCAGGTAAGAGAAATGATTTGAATGAAGGCACAGAAATAAAAACTACACATAAAGTATTCAAGAAATGTTGCTTAGAAGAGCTTGACACAGTGGGAGTTTGGTGGGGCTAAAATACGAACATTAAAAAATAAGGTAGGACCCATTTTTGGAGGGCCCTGAATATCAGGTAATAGAAAATTAGATGTCAGATACAAGATTAAATGCTTTACATATAAATGTTGTATCATTTATTTCTTATAGCATCAGAATGAGGTAGGTGTCAGGGGCTAGATTTTTATTTGTAAGCATATCAAACTGGCTAAGTGGTAGAGGATTCAAGCCAGATCTGACCTATAAACAATAAAAAGGCTACCTTTTCTTTAAACTAGCAAGAAGAATTTTTAAAACATGTAATACCTGACTATGTAGTCAGGGGTACTGACCTCTTTTCTCTTAGAATGTCAAATAAAAAAACGACACCAGCCAAAACAATAATAGCTGCTTGATGCAAATGAATCAAAATTATACCTTTTTTTTGGTTAAATCAGCAAAAAAACTTTTTTGGTGTGCCACGGAATTTGAGTAATTAGATTACATGTGCCAGGAGATGAAAAAGGTTGAAAATTGCTGCTCTAAACTATTCTTTCTCTCCAAAGTAGTTTGAACATCCAAATGGGGCACGTGGTCAATGAAATTTGTCTGACTACATCCAAATCCTTGTTTAGAGATTAATCTGATAGTGGAATATATCCTTGTTTAGTTGTCTTGTAATTCCAGTGATGAACCCGAATGTATTTGATCTGTGTATCCTAGATCTGTCTCCGCACACTGATGAACATGTAATGTTGTCTCCATATGTCATTGGCTAGAGTGAAAACCCATTTATTACCAGCTTGTTAAAGATTTTGCCTGTAGTCTGTACTCTATCTGTAGCTATTTTTGACAGAGGTTTTTAAGAAACTATTATTTCTAATTCAAATTCAATTTAATAAACACTAGCTTCCTCTCATCCAATCCTTCTCATACCTACAAATTTCCACCACTTACAAAATTATTGGAGAAATTGTGAAAAACTTCCGTGAAGATGTAAACTGCACTCCATAGTCCAGTTGTTCCCAATGAGTTAGGAGCCTTGCTTTTCCCTGGTCAGGAGTCTCAAAAGGTGTTCCCTTTACAGCATGCAAAAACACATACATTCCCTGGAAAACAAACAAGGGAATATATAATTAACATCAAATACAAAACTGGTATCTATCAGTAAGCATGAAGATAGTTCCAGACTATTTGTGACAAGGTATATGATTTAACTTACAGGTCATTTTAAGCTTTCATATTCTTTTGAAAATCTGTAGGCAGTTTCTTCATAGTAAAATAAAATTTCCAGGGGTATATAAACGTTATTTGTTGAAAACCAGTAAAAGGTCAACTAGAAGTAACCTGCTTTCACCCTTTATTAAATCAAGAATAAAGAAAAAGTAACATCAGAGTAACTTTATATTACCACAGTTAGATTTTCTAGCGCCTTTCCTATTAGGATATAGGGTTACCTTGACCCCAATGTGTAGGATAGTTTAGAATGTCATATTAGTAAATCTGATATTTATAAAATGATTATAAATATACAAATTGGTAAATAAGCAAATAAAATCTCTATCAGGAAAATGGTTTTGAAAATATTTAATATTGGGACTGTCTTTGTCTCAATACTTTTCTTCCAAAGCAACAAAGATGGTTTGATGTAATAGGCATAATGTCAACTCAATTTGCTTTTACAGTCACTACTGTGCCTCAACGGTGTTTCCATTGTAGTTTTTAAAAATTAAAAAAAAGTTTACTAAAAGTCAATCTGTTCAGTGGTATCTTTAAATATCTTGTTTTGTGGTTAACTAGGAAAAAAACAATGTATAATAGATTTGGTTTCCTTGAGATTAGATACCTATTCAAATGGACAGGTAGTGCTTCATCACAGGATCACTGCCTGAGGAACTGGTAAGAACAGTAATGCCTACATATTATGAGGAAATAGATTTTCCCACTAGAAATAATGACATGATGTCCTTTTTTCTACTACCACTTTTAATAAATATATGGGGAAAAAGGAGAAAAATTAGTGATTTGAAATTTTACATTATTCCTATAGGTAAGAGAAGTCTTATTTTCAAAGCTTAGTCTACTACATTATTTCATAAGGCAATTCAAAAACTGTTTAACTGCAATAACAGCTAAGCTACACAGAAATGGACTAACATTCAACTGGATTTAACTCAACATACATTTAATAAGTTGTTCAAATGTACGGGACATGACATGCATGCATATATGAAATTGAACAAAAACACATAGCCTTAAAAATGTTCAATCCTCTGGCAAAGGGAAAAAAAGATGCATAAACAGCTAGAATGTAGGGCAGCATTGCTATGAATATTACAGTCAAGGTACTCAGGAAATGCAGAGGAGCAATAAGTTCCTTGCTGCTGAGGCAAAAGCTTGATGCTACCTCGTCAACTATCTCATTCCTGAAGGTTCAGCTCAAATGACAATTGTTTAGTGAAGCCTTCCTTGCTAGTGATAACCTCCTAACTGCATGGATGAATTTTATTGGTAATACTTTTACCATAGCACAATACATACATTGTGTTGGAATAGTTTGTTTGTTTTTCCATTAGGCTAAATACCTTAGGAACAAGGGCTGGTATACAGCAAGTATTAGATATTAAGCCAAGATAACATAAGCAAAGGAATGTCTATTCCGTAAGCACAAGGAAAACATTTTCACATAGGCTTCAAAGGAAACTATAAACAGAAACTGTATGCTTTCAAATTCCCAAGAGCCTATACTCTAGACCATGTAATGTGTTAGAATTATCGAAGAGAACAATCCTCTCATTATTTCTTTCAAACCACATGGACTCACAGTATTCAGAATATATGTAATATTCTGTTTATTTTATATATTCTTCTCAATGAAAAAGAATAAAAACTTATCTGTCCACATATATTCTACTCCATTATTTTTAATAGTTTTTCTATGAAATTTTAGTGATAATGATTTATATCCACATCAAAAGAATTAAGAAAAAAGTATGTAGCTCATAGTTAGCCCTTGACAAATATTTACTGACTCAAAATGAAAGGAATTATCATTCATTTTAAAAGGTAGGTAAAACATTCAGCAAAGTATTAATGCCTCTAAGGTGAATTGTAGCACCAAAGAAAAACATTCGCTACAGGTTTCTACTTACTGTATGGTTTTAGAAAGTCAGAGACTGTATTTTTTTTCTAACCAGAAATAACAATTAGGTCTACTTTCCCATATTTAAAAAGCATTTGGCATGTATTTCACATTTTTAATTGGTTTAATGTAGGCTGTCTTCAAAAGAAATTTAAATTTGGAGCCACATAATTGCTACAGCTATGTCTGGTTAGTTAGCTTTTTAGTGTCCTGAAGTCAGCAGTTTGCTTCCCTACGTATTGTCTATTTCCTACCCTTTGTCCATTACTATATACTGTGCCTCAATTCCAGTCAACCAAACTGAAAACATGAAGAGGTGAAATGAGTTCTAAAGTATATTTAATAAATATGTCATTGAAGGACTAATTTATTCAACAAAAATTTAAATGGGTACTTGGAGATATAACAATTAAAAACAAAAGAGATAAACTACCTAATATAAGACTATCATAAATACATGATATAAGAATACAGCGTGTGAGTTTTCTGGCATCTTGAATAAGGTGATACTTGAATAAAGTTTTCCTGAACAAATAGTAATTAGGCAGAGCAAGAAGAAGGGAAGGTATTAAAATAGAAGAGCCTAAGCAAAAGAAAGAGATGAGGGCAAGACAATTTTCAGTATTGTTAGAACATAGCTTGTATTGGAGGTAGGCTGAGATAACATTAAGTCCCTTTCTTATCTCTTACAGTTACCAACTGGTCTTATATGCCACACAAGGAACTTAGCATTTTACTAGAATGTAACAGGGAATCACTGAAGAATTTAAACAGTGTGACTTGAGCAGACACGCATTTTAAAACTATCACTCTACCAAGCTTGTATGGAAGAGAGTAGAAAAGCACCAAGGAGACCATGTATCTCTTGCAGCAATTTTCAAACATTTTCATCTCATGTCACATATAAATTACTAAAATTCTTCAACCCACCAAAAAAATTATATTATAAATTAAATTTATAATATTATATATTAAAATATATAATATATTGTATTTTTTGATCTGACAAAAATAGGTACAATTTTGATTCACATCATAGCTATTGTTGTGTTGGCTGTTGTCCTTTTTTTAATTTGATAATCTAAGGGAAAAGAGGTCAATGCCCCTGACTAAATAGTCAGATATAACATGTTTTAATAATTCTTGCAGCACACTGGTTGAAAATTGCCGAACTACTGAAGGAACTGACAGAAAAATAAATGAATTCTAGCAACGCCAGTGGGGATCAAATTCAGAAATAGTAAAGCAGAACATACTAGGATTTGCCGAAGTGAATAATAAAATATAGAAAAAGGAGTTACCCTAAGACTAAGCTGACCATATCTGCTAGTTTGCATGGACAACCCTGATTTACACATATTCTGTTGGAGTAGTTATTACTAAAGATCCCTCTTACTTTAATACAGTCTCAGTTTGGATGATACACTGTATTAATGACTTTTCCTTTGACATTCAGCTATCCTGCTTGGCTTATGGACACAAAGTGGTGGCTTTAAATTAGATTAGGAACAAAGTCAGAGGAACAAATTGTGGGTAGAAAGAAAGATAAGGAATGGGTTCAATTTACACTTGTTTGGTTTAATGTGCAAGGTGATCTAGTAATATTAATATGGGCATCATTCTTCTACAGGTAGAAACTAAAAATATGGAATAACAGAATATATAGAAGAAGAGATGAAAAAAGAACCTTAGGAAAAGAGAAGGCAGGAAGTGCAAGAGGAAACAGAAAAGATCAGAAATATATATAGAACAAAGCAATAACATGAAAACCAAAGGAAAAGAATTCCAATAAAAGGATCTGATTAATGACAAATATTTCAGAGAGATTATCATTTAAAAACAGTGTTTGCCCTATCAAAGTCTATTACTGAAAATGGACTAAGTGCACATTCACAAATTTCTACCACATCATCCTTGTCTTTCTCCAGGCAACTTTAAATACTCTCCGGAAGAAATAAAATAAATAGTATTAATTAAAAAATTGATTTCTCTTACATTTTTCTGTCTTAATTCTAAGTTCTTAACTTTTTGGATATCTTTAAACAAATATGTAGTTAATCTGGATTCAATTAAAAGTCTCAATTAACTGGATTTCTCTTCTTTCATTCCAATTTAATAAGCTGTTAAAGACAAGAAAAGTCACTATCAGGTTTATTTTTTCAACATACAATTCCCAAGGCTGCATAATATGGTCAGTAGAGTTGCTCAAACTTCTGATACTTCGTAAAGTTATCATATAATACAAAAGAGTGATAACCATCAGGAAGAGGCTAAGGTACCATAAGATGCTGAATCATATAAAATATGATTAAGCTCAAAATTTCTATACAGAAGTAGGAAAGTAATTTATTAACCAAAAAAAGTAACTACTTCTTCTGAAATATTCTGGTTTATCAATATAATGTAGTTGGTTAATTAGTGTCAACATATTTGCTAAAATGACCTACTATTTTCTAGATTCTATAAAACCAGAAGGAAAAATGTCTTACTTAGAAAAAGGGCCCAATGTTTAAAGTGTCACAGAAAAATACAATCCCATTCCAGACTTAAATTCTTCAAAATTGTCATATTTATTAAAAATCACTGAACTGCACACTTTCAATGGGTGAATGTTATATTATGTAAATTATCTCATAAAACTGTTTAAAAAGTCCCATGTTTTTCTTTATAAAACTTTAAAGCTTTTTAAAAAGTTCTGTTTAAATACGCTTAAATGTACCATATTAACCATTTGTATATGTACAGTTGAGTAGCCTACATTAGCATCGTTATGCAACCATCACCATCATCCATTTCCAGAACTCTTTGCATCTCACAAAACTGAAACTGTACCCATTAAACAATAACACCCCATCCATTCCTCCCCCAGTCCCTAGCAATTAAACCTTGAGCTTTCAAGTGTTTTGTATAAGGTGAAATTCTTACCAGATTATGTATAACATTTGTTAAGGTCCACGCAACAGGAACACTGAAGAAGGGAATACTGAGTAAGACAATATGAAGTAAGCCAACTCCCAGCGCATATGTCAGCCACATACCCCGGCTGTTCATTACCCGGGTATTTGGATTCACCTCGCTGTGGGCAACTCCAACATTCATGTTTACTCTGTAGGAAAGCAATGAAATGTATCAACCCTGGCATAACTAGAAACTTATATACCCCTAATTCTGCCTGATGAAATAAGTGTGTTAACTAGGATTATTTTTAATAGTTCTGAACACCCTCCAAAATATGCCACTTGTAGATGCTGACAAAGGCAGTAAAGAATTCTTAACATCTGATTTTATGGTAAGTCAAACAAGACTTATTTTATGGTTCTCGATGAAAAAATAGTAAAAATCCCTTTCCTAAAACTTGTCTTCTAGCATATTGGTTTTACTAAATGAAATAATGGACAGGAATGCTCAAACTGAAAGAGAAAAATCTACATTTTCTTATATACGGAGAGCAAAGAGAAAACTCAAGAGCTAAATCTATCAACAGAATTAATATAAAGAAAGCAGAGCTGACCCAGTCTGTCTGTTTCGAGTAGCCAGATTCATAGCTCATGTAATGTATCCACAAGGAGTAGTCCGAGTTCAAATCACTCTTTTTGAATATTGAAACTGGGAGGAACACAAGGTGCTGGAAAATTTACATGGTCAAGGGATAAGGTTTGTTTCTCAGTCTCCCGATCAAATTAAGTCAAAACAGTAGTCTTTCTTCTGAATATTTTAATTCTAATCAACTCAAGTTTTTTCCTCTTTTTTTAGGTTCTCCTTTTCCCCTTTCGCGTTCAAGATGAACAACAAAGGAAGAACTGGTAATAGTTCTCAGTTATCTTAATAATCATGCATGCTTGGGTCTAAGAGTACCTTAAGCAAAATAACACTGTCCTGAAGAATACCCATCATCCCGGCAAAACACTGACCAGTGAGATTTAAGGGGGGGGGGAGGGAGAGTGAGATTATATTTAGAACAGATCTGATTTTAAAATATATAAACCCTTTCAATTACAGAGTTGGCATTGAGAGAGAAATTTCTCATAACCCCATCCAACAGGTGTTTTCGGCGTACAATGTCCCCTTCCCTTTCCAAAAAATATCTATAGAACTGAAGGCATCAAAGCTCACAGGGACGGCAGTTGGCTACATTAAAACGAAGCTAAAATTTCCAATCTATAGGCGTACTTTTTTTTTATCTAAACACCCACTATGTAGCATACACTATTTTTATACGGTAAATTATACTCAGAACATACAATCGCTCGAGATTATTTTTCCCACTTTCCATATGGGGGGTGGGGAATGCTCCGAAGAGCTGGAAGGCAAAGATGGTGTGGTACTGACCCTACCCCCAGTTCAGAAAACCTTTCCGAGGAGTCTCTCGTGACACCCTTAAACAATGATTTCAGACAGAGAAAAGCCTCCTGGCTCAGACCCTAACGGTTCCTCGCGGATGACAAGGAGGGGTCCATTGCCTGCCAGCCAGCCACCAGCAGCCTTCTCCGACTGTCAGAGTTCCTCAGATAATGGAATTTAGCAAAAGCCCCTGCTGCTACCCCTGCAGCACCTCCCCGACCGCTCCTTCCTTCCCGGGTGTCGCACCGCAGTCAGTGCCGAGGTACAACGACAAACATTTTGGGTGCAAGCCTCAGGGGCCACTTGGCCAGCACTGCCAGACAGAGCGCGCGGACGCAGCCAGAGCCCATTCTTCCCCCTCAGGCCAACTCCAGTCAGCCAGCAGATCGCTCCCGCTGCTGGCAGCAGCACATCCCCGCAGCCGTTCGTGCCCACTCACCCACCTCCCCCACTCCCGGCTGCCGACTCGGAGGAAGACCAGCTCTGCAACTACGGCGCCTGCTCTAGACCGAATGCCAGTGGTGGGCTCCTTCGCAGCGTAGTTTAGTTTGCGGAAGCCCACGGAGCTGAACGCGCTGTCAGTGGATTGGCTGCTTGCAGTGCCAATCCCACGTTCCCCGAGCGGGGCGGGACTAAATGCCACGCGCCAGTGCCCGCTCTCCTGCGCGCGCGCAGTGTCGGCACTCCGGCGTCGGAGCCGTGCTGGGGCTGTGGGCGGACGGAGGCTGGTCAGCTAGTGGATGGTAATTATCCACCTCGCGCAAGCAAGAAGGTAGTGTAGTATGGCTAAGGGGCATTCATTCTTTTGTTCTCCCAGGCTTGGGGCCCCCCTGCCAGGAACTCCTCCTAGTCCAGAAGCCTAGTCAGAGCGCCGCTGGCCTCTGCGGGCGCCCCTCCCCCCCACCTCGGGGCGGGAAGCGGGCGAAGCTGGACCGGCGGGCACGCACTCTTGGAGAGGGGTCTCTGAGCCCGTCAGCCTTGGTCTTCACTGACTAAATAGTGTTTAAGCTTCTGTTGCAGCCAATTACTCAGATCCTTGTGGGTGCAAGACTTAACGTTGTTTGCCAGGCGTAAACTCCAACCCCTGACAGCTATAACTTGTCTTGTGTGTGGTGTTTTAAAATACTGTTATGTTGTGGCATCATACAAACGGTGCAAGCAAGCTCTTTTCATTTAATAATTTTTATTGGTGTCTTTCTGGGTTTCTCCACACGCTGAAGTCAGGCATCTGTATTACGGTACGTGCTGAGGAAATGTGGGTACCAAAAATTAATTTTATTTGAGGACGGAGAGGAAAAATCATATTATTTGGAGTCATGTGTGAAATCGAATGACATTACTTTGGAAGTGCACAAAGCTTGTCATTTGTATTCTTAAAATACCTTTCAACAACATTTCAAAATTGGCGTAAGAGAATGTTGACTATATGTGTATATCTTGCACTTCTGTTGGACCTGTGAAACAGTTATTTGAATTTCATTCTGCTCTGTGACTTCTGCTGCTTTTTAAGGTGCAGTATTATCCTTAATCACTTTTCCTGGTATTAGCACTTTTTCAGTAGTGTTTTAATTTCCATCTTAGCACATATGGAACACTAATTCTTGAAATCCAGGGGTGTCTAAACTCGATGTGTCTGAGTCACACTGGGAAAACAGTTGTCTTGGGCCACACATTAAATACATTGCAACACGTAATCACAAAAATAATCTCATAATGTTTTAGGTAAATTTACAATTTGGTGTTGGGCCACATTCATAGCTATCCTAGGCTGCATGCAGTGTGCAGGGCTGCAGGTTGGACACCCCTGCATGCTGTAACTTTTAAGCCTGAAACCAACCCTTCACCTTTTCCAAATATGCAGTTTGTTATAGTAGAAGGCTGGCTGTGTTCCAGAAGTTATGCTAAGGATATAAGATTAATATAAAATCTCTGTCCTCAAAGAACTCTGAACCAGTCGGAAGGGACAGAAGAACAACAGTTAGAATAACCTGTGGTGAGTTTTGGGTTAGAAATAAGGAAAAGGTGCTGTAGGAGTACAGAGGAAAAGATGCTTAATCTGTTGGGGGTAGAGGTGGAGGGCCATGAGAGTCTTCCTTGAGAAGGAAGGGAACCTTGTGACCTAAGGAGAATGAGTACAACCACATTAAGAGAGAGACATTGTATGGTATGACTTTCCTACTGCACATTTGGAGAATAGCGGGTTAAGATTAGAAAGGTAGAGCTCTATTTGTTAAGGACTTTGGACTTTGTCTTAATAGTAGTTGAAAATCTTTATAAAATTTTAAGTAGTATAGCAACATGATAAAATTTATAGACAGAACCCTATGGGTGGTTGAGATTTGAAGCAAAATATCAGGTTATTGCAAAGTATAGGGGGAAATGTTGAGGAGCTGAACAGAGGCAGTAGCTATAGGTATAGAAAAGAGAGGACTAGTTTGAGAAATAGAAATACTTAGGTAGTAAAGATAGTTCAATTTTGGTGGCAGGATGTAGAGAGTAAGGAGAATTTGTAGATTGACTTCAAGGTTTCTAATTTTGCCTTGTGAGACTGGATGAGCATGGTGTTTGGAGTCAAACATATTATAGTGTGCGGTTGTACATCTGTCGCTTACTAGTTGTGTGATCTGAAACAAGTTATTAAGCTTCAAAATTCCATTTGTAATGGAGGAATGGTAATATATGTAGGGGTGTTGTGAGGACTAAATAGGATTATATATAGGAGGAGGGACCCCCAAAACCAGAATTTATTTATAAAGAATTGTGTATTTAGGGACTTCCGCCAAGATGGAGGCGTAAGTGGAAACACTTTGCGTCCTCGCACAACCAAATCTAAAATTAACAAAGTTTTAACAACAATAAACATAACCAAACCACACAGAAAATTGACAGTACGGAGTCCGAAAACAACAAACCGCTCAGCTAAACTGGTGAGAGGGGCGAAGCCAGCAGCAGAGTGGATTGGCAAAAAAGATCCCCAACTGGGGTGGGGCGGTGGGCTGGCAGCCTAGGGCTCGGATCCCAGGTGCAGGCTAGCTACGAGCGGACACAGGGAAGAGGCGTGGCTGGCTGGCTGCTGTTGGTCTTACATTTGCACTCAGATAAACAGGTGGGGGCGAGTGGAGAGGACCCCCATTGCTCCCTCTCTGACCCTGCTCCTACATACAGTGTCACAAACCAGTGACCTGAGTGGCCCCGCCCTGGTAAACAACTAAGGCTCCCCTCCTGGTTGTAACAGGCACAAACAGATAAAAACATGCCTCAAGAACAACTTGGAGCCCCAGAGCCAATAAATCTAAATGATGAAGAAATAGCCAAACTTTAAGATGCACAGTTCAAAACACTGGTGATCAGGATGCTCACAGAACTGGTTGATTTTAGTCACAAATTACAGGAACATATGAAGGCTAAACTAATTGAAATGAATGGTAATGCATAGGAAACCAATAGTGATGGAAAGGAAACTGGGACTCAAATCAATGGAGTAGACCAGAAGGAAGGAAAAAATGACCAAACAGAAAAATATGAAGAATCAATAATTCAAAAAAAATGAGAGGCTTAGGAACCCCCAGGACATCTTTAAACGTTCCAACATCAGAATTATAGGGTACCAGAAGGGGAAGAGGAACAGCCATGAGTGGAAAACTTATTTGAACAAATAATAAAAGAGAACTTCCCCATTCTGGCAAAGAAAATAGACTTCCAGGAAATCCAGGAAGCTCAGAGAGTCCCAAAGAAGTTGGACCCAAGAAGGAACACACCAAAGCACATCATAATTATATTAGCCAAGATTAAAATGAAGGAGAGAATCCTAGAAGCAGCAAGAGATAAGGGGACTGTCACCTACAAAGGAGTTCCCATCAGACTGTCAGCAGATTTCTCAAAAGAGACCTTACAGGCAAGAAGGGGCTGGAAAGAGGTATTCCAAGTCATGAAATCCAAAGACCTACAACCAAGATTGCTCTATTCAGTAAAGTTTTCATTTAGAATGGAAGGGCAGATAAAGTACTTCTCAGATGAGACCAAATTCAAGGAGTCCATCATCACCAAGCCCTTGTTATATGAAATGTTAAAGGGACTTAACGTAAGAAAAAGAAGATAAAAAAGATGAACAGTGAAAGGACAGCAAACTCACAGTTATCAACAACCATACCTAAAACAAAAGCAAATTAAAAGGACAGCTAGATCAGGAGTGAACCATAGAAATAAAGATCACGTGGAGGGTTAGCAACAGGGGAGTGGGAGAAAGAGAAGGAGAAGGAGGGAGAAGGTACAGAAAATAAGTAGCATAGACAGTAGATAGAAAATAGATAGGGGGGAGGGTAAGAATAGTAGGGGAAATATAGAATCTAAAGAACTTGAGACACGTGTTCATGAACTAAAGGGGGAATGGTGGAGGAGTGTGCAGAGTGGAGGGGAATGGAGGGGGAAATAGAACAAATGCAATGGCATAATCAATAAAAAAATGGTAAAAAAAATTTTAATAAATAATAGACTTTCATGAGGTATCAAAAAAAAAGAATTGTGTATTTTGTCATATTTAAACTTTAGTCACCTTCAAAGTACTGTCCATTTGATGCAGTATACCTATTGAGATGTTTTTTCCACTGCTCAAAACAGTTTTTGAACTTGTCAATTTCAATGCCTTTTAGTATGCTTCTGCCAATTTTTGCTTTGATTGGCAAGACAGGTCCCTTTGAAGACTTTTTTCATCCAGGAAAACAAAAAATAGTCTCTCAGGGTAAGATAGGGCACATAGGGAGGATGGGACCCCAGGGTGGAAGTGCTCATGCCATTTTTTTTTTATCAAAAACTGCTGAACACTTTGTGTGTGGCAGGAATGCTTATAAATCACCCACCATGCAATGGGCAAGCATGTTGGAAGAGTCTTCAAAAAAAATTTAGTGAAGCCTAATGTAGCCTCTCACAACAAGGCCAGTTGGTATACTGATACAGATGGGTTCCTGGAACACTCATTTAGTGAGGAAAGCCTGTACTTCCCTCTAGAAGATAATTTTGGTTCTTTTCTGGTTCCCTCCTCATAAAGTTGCTTATGTTAGCTACAAATTTTATCAAAAAGAAATATAGGAAGCGGGTTAATTAGAAAAAGATTCAGAGACAAGTTTGGGACAAGAAGGAAGGAAAAAATGACCAAACAGAAAAACATGAAGAATCAAGAATTCAAAAAAAATGAGAGGCTTAGGAACCTCCAAGCCTCCAAGTCATCTAAATAATGGTATTTTTAAGGTACTTGCTAATCAGGCCCTGTCCTGGAGTTTAGAAAAAAAGCCTGGTTAGGTGATACTAGAGGCCAGTTAAAATAGAATATGTAAAGGGAAGGAGTTAAGACAGTGGTGACTTACTGGGAAGAAGGACAGGCTTCCTAATGTTTACACTGGCATCAGGAAGGTGCTGATAAA